TAAGTTTCTAAAAGTGGATATATTTGTGAACTTGCATAATTTATTCCCATTTGATAGCAATGGAGAGGGCAAAATATTATGCAAAAGTTCACTCTAAAAATCCTGCCTAAACATCCCTTGCTGGCTTCTGAACTTTGACTAGCAACCCATATTCTGGAAAACCGATATTAATGGCTATAAGGACTAACGACTTGCTTTTTTCATTTTTAATAAAACAAATCTTTTCAAGTTGTTGATTTATCACTAACCATACCAAATTCTGCATCTGCATGGCATCACACAATGCACACAGGCCATGTCACAGAACATTAATATTCTTGTGGTTAGAGAGAAATATGAGTCTTGTCTCTTTCAATATGACTAACTGCTTTCAGTTTGCCCAAGTTTCTTTTGTGTTTTCATCGACTCTAGACTGTCCTCTTCACAATATGAACTGTGTATTTTAAAAAGATGCCCGTTTTTATGTCTTGATACAGCAGAACTCCCATGATACAGAATTTGGGTATGTCAATTTCCTGTGTGTTCTTCTTCAAGGTCTACCTTAACATGACTTCTAGCTAGGGTTGCCATCATCCAGAATTTCCTGGACACAGCTGGGATTCAGTGGTGGTAAACAGTGTCTGGGCAGAAATCTCTGCAAATATCCGGGGAAATCTGGACATATGGCAACCCATGTCAGAAGTGTAGATTTGGCGAATTTCATTTAAAATGTCTCAAAAACTTCATTTTTAATGAGATTTTTTTTGGGGGGGTGGCATATTAGTATTACAACAAATTTATCATATGTGTTTAAACCAAACACAGTGTGTTGTAGTGGTTACAGTGCTGGAACTGGGAGAACAAGGTTCAAATCCTCGCTCGACCATAAAACCCACCATCGGCCAGTCACCTAACTTATCTCATAATGCTGTTGCAAGGATAAAATGGGGAGAGGGATAACCATGTACTTCGTTCTGAAATCCTTGTATGAAAATTGGTATATAAACGTAATAATGAATAGAATATTTCACGTCAAAACATGACCTCAAACAGATTAAGCAGGACCTGGATGAAAACTGCAAGATATGCTACAAATGCACATCTGCAACCATATTGGCTGCAGAAGTAGAGGCCTGCTTCCATGTGTAGATTTCTCTTGCTGGATGAAGATGAGCATCTTTAGGGTGCCTGATATGTCTAGTCCCTTGTAAATACCAGACTTCAGAAGTCACTTCCATGACTCACTGGACTGGTAGGTCAACCCAACCTTCTTCAAATTCTCTTAAGATATCAAATAGCCATACACATCTGAGTGGAGAGATTATCCAGGTGAGAGATAAAAGTTAAAATTTGATCTGAGAATGCCATGGAGTGCTTTAGAGACACCTGGTCAAACTGTCTCTAGGAATGGGGGGAAATTAATTAAAAGCTTCCCTTTTGCTATGTGGATTTTCAGCCCTATGAATTTGTTCATTTTTTTTCAAAAATGAAAAAAGAACATTTTAAACAGTGGCTTCTTTATACGCAGGATTTATCTAACCTCTCTAATGTGCTAGTTTCTAAGAGGAGACCTCTCCATTTTTCCATTTTCAAAAGGAGTGAATATTATTATTAGCCTGTCCATAAAATTATTAAAGTTATGAAACTGAAGTATTATAAAAACAAGGCACAGAGCAGTTTCTGTCTTCTGATCCTTAGAAACAACATACAGGAGGAGCTGCAAGCCATCACATTAACAGGTGTGCTAAACCACTGACTTTACTGCAAAGACATGGTTGCTTTGAACCACTGCCAGCAAAAAGGATAAAGAAGTTAAATATAGCAGTAAAGCAGACATTTCAGCAAATGTTGAAATGTACGTTTTAGAGAATGTATGCTTAAAACCGGGATAATCATAACCATTTGCGGAGCTTCTACAATGAAACGATGTTCTTTGCAAATGGGTAGATGGAGGCTAAATTCACATTAATATGAAATAGCATTTACTTTTCTACCAGAGATAAATACAGTGAAAACAAGTACAGCAGATCATATGAAAAGTGGCCAACATGCAGCCAGCAGGCTACCAAGGCCCTGGAGGGCCATTTTGCGTATCCTGGTGCTTTTTGATAAAATCCTGAAACTCTCTACTTTTTGTCCCTCATGGTTGTAAAAATGAGTTTGAAAACACAGAACACTGACTTGCCAAAGACCACAAAAATGGAAAGCAAGTGAAAAGGATATAAAGTTGACTATATTTTATGAGTTGCCTCAAGTTTTAGCAATACCACAGCTTTCATTAACCTCCATTGACTTGAATAACCAGATAGCAAAAGGAAAACTTTTACTTACCAACATGGCAAGATCTTTTCACTAGAAAATGCTCTTAATTCCTAAAGCACAGTCAAACTGATCCAGACAATACTTTATTACAGGATTAACTGCACAAGTAAAAAACCAACAACTTTAAGTTGTACAACTCTCCCTGAGGCAGAAAAATAGTCCTTCCTACAAATAAAGTTAACCAGTTTGCAATATGAAGCGTGCAAATTCAGTGTCAAGTATTTCTCAAACTGAGAATAACAAAGCCAAGAAGCACACATCTGAAATACTAGGGCGAAATGAAGAGCTACATCAGGGGTTCTCAAACTCCAGGGCACATTTGAGAAGATTGAGAATAACTGAAGCCCACTAGTCACAAAATGGCAGTGCAGGGGCAAAGACAGCCACAAAATGGTGGCAGATGGAGGTGGAGTTTGGCATGAACAGCTGACAACTAGTGCTATTTTTTTTTACTGATACTTAAACCCTCTTTGGAAATTAATAACTTTCCCATAGCAATTTCCTTGGGACTCTTGAGCTCCATAGTAGTGCTTTCCTCAGGTTCTGGAATTAGCTCTGAAATTATCATGACTCAACCTACTACCCATTTTAGGTAGAACTTGCTGATTCAGAGGATCTAACTGGAAATGGCTATTTATTTTCTATCCCCACCCCCACATACACCTCTCCAATAATTTTTAACCATTTCCTCTCACTTCATCTTCCCTTCTCCTTTCATACATGGACAGATAGTTTGGAAGGAGTGGAGAGGGTACAAGTTATTTCATCCATACTCCAATCTGCCCACTCAACCTCTTCTTCCTGTAACAACATCCCTTCTTCCTCTCAATTTCCAGCTGTTTTGGGTTTTTTTAATTATCTCTTTCTGCTTTTCTTCATAGCGTCCTCTAGCATTTTCCTTTCAAAAAAGGAAGACCTTTGCTTCTCTCCTTCCTCAACCCCTTAATCTACTGCCATCTTTATTCAGTGGCACTTTCTCTCTCCTACTCACCCACCCTACATGGGCATGCAGTTGCACACACTGACAATCCAAATTCTGGCAGTTCCTCAATACCAGGTTTTTCTTCTAAGGGGGAGAAAGAAACTATCACCTTCAGTCAGCCAGGAAAGACCTCTTGAGTCAGGAGGAAGCCTGGGGTGTGGGAGTATGAATGAGAAAGGCCAAAGGCATAGCAGCACCCCTGGGTGCACCTTCTCCTCCTCACCCTCAGTGTGACCGTCCCCATCCCCATTTTCCTTCCTCACACTCAGATAGCTGTTGTAATCACTGCTGTCCATTTCTTCTCTCCTGGCTCCTTTCCAACTTTGCATGCTACAGGACAACTCTCTAACCTACTCCTGCTCCCATATGTACCTATACACTGCTCATGGTGTAGCAGTTGGGAGCAGGATGTTCAAGTGAGGCGGCATTGGGCAGGCTGCAGTGTTAAGCCCCTCTGGTGGTCCCATCACACAGTCTGAGGAACACTGAACAAGTTGCTACATCCTAATGGGGGGGAAATACAACTAAAGTAGGTCACAAAATCAGTGTTCTTGAAAGGAAAAATTAAATACCTGATGCAGCAATTTACATGGGGCACAACAAGAGGAGAGGGAGGGAAGTCCTATTATGTAAACTGAAACCCTTGAAACCCAGATCTACTTTGTTGGATACTGCCCTTAGCTTGGATCCAGCACAGAGCTAGCTGAACTTACTTCCCATTGAAATGGGTAGGAGTTAAGTATTTCTTGTATTGTTTTCAACAGAAACCAAAATCAACTGTCTGGAGTCAATTCTTCTCCCTTTAATTTCATATATTTCTACTGTACATTTGTATGTTTTGCTGTATTTCCAGTTTCTCAACGAAAGTTTAAAGAATACAGATCCTAATACAAACCAGCTGGGCCTTTTCACCTTTACGATGCCATTGTAATGTGTGATGTGTTATACCCACTCCCTGTTTCTCATTTTTTTAACCTTACACTAACCCATGAAAATGCCTTCCCTTTATTGGAAAGGTAAGGTAGCTCTGAGACGGTTGGTAAGGAATTTTGCAAAAGATTTGCTGGAACTTCAAATGCAAATAGGTGCTTACTGAGCCTCTCAAAATACTAGTGTTTTAACCCTGCATTTGCCAAACAAATCATCCTTCACTATATACCTGAAGAACCTGGTGTTAACATTAATTTGTTCAATCATAACCTCAGCCATTCTAGAAACTTTGCTTAAGGACCTTGGGGGTGGTCAACATATTGTAAGGGTCGCCAAGCAGATTCAATATTGCACTTGGTTGAGCTGCGGAGTGTCAGTACTGAGACTAGTATGAAAGCACGGTGTCATTCAATACCTGATCAAAACTAAATAAACACTACTCGTGGTTTACTATGAGGAGCACAGCATCAAAATTAGTAAGCAATACTGATGTCCACAGAGGGGGAGGGGCAAGGTAATGGCGAAGCTGACGTGGACCAAACATGCCAGCCACAGAATCACATTGATTCCACTAGGGTGTTTGCACCATGCACACCTCACCCCTCCCCTCTCTGAACCCGTTTACAGCAGCAACACAGTCAGAAGGAGGTCAGGTAAGCAGCATAAACCCACTGCACCATGCACTACTGGACAGATGCATGGTGATCATAAAATTAATAGCTGATTGGCAACAAGTTTTGTTCTGGCTCTCTTTTTTCCTATACGACCAGTAAAAAACAGTACTTACCACTAAATCCCAGTTATTTTGTTCAAGTAAGGTGATAGCTTCATCAATATTTTCTATACCAGTACATGCCTAAAATGAAAAAAATAAATAAAAGGGTTCAGCTGAAGAAATCTCTCAAGTATTAATTCTTTAAACATTAAATAAGACAGGGGTCACCAACTCAGGAACCACCATGACACCCATGAAAGCCTTGAAATTTCTAGGAAATGAGCCAGCCTGGCTGCTCTAGCTTATCACTGTTTTCAGGCAATGAATGAAGTCAGAGCTTTGACTGATAAGTGAGCTGTTTGGGCACCAGGCAACAGAAATCCCTGGGACCCTAAACAGTTGCTGTCCCCACCCCCCTTTAGTGCAATTTTCCTGTTTACGTCTCATTTTCTAGTCTTTGGGATCTCTTTAGCTTGTCCTTTCTTTTCCCCTAGCAACCAGGATGCATCTTTCCTATGACGGGCTTGTCTAAGATCAGGAAGTTCCTAGATGTTATTTTCTGCAAATAGTACTATACAATAAGTGACGGTGGAGGGTAAAGAATCCCCCTCCCTCCACGAAAGGCAAATCTTGGCATATGCAACTAAAAGAATCTCCAGTATTCATTTCTCAGATGTATACCCCATCTTTCTACATTAGGCATTCAAAGAGGCCAACAAAATTAGAAGTGGATACAATAAAAAAAAAATCAAGAAACAAACAGAAAATATCAGTTCTTTCCATCACTCTTAGGAGAACTATACTGGAAGAACCGGGCCTCCTGGATGGGAGAAGAGAAGAAGAGAGGAAGAGTTTGGATTTGATATTCCCGCTTTATCCACTACCCGAAGGAGTCTCAAAGCGGCTAACAAACTCCTTTCCCTTCCTCCCCCACAACAAACACTCTGTGAGGTGAGTGGGGTTGAGAGACTTCAGAGAAGTGTGACTAGCCCAAGGTCACCCAGCAGCTGCATATGGAGGAGCAGGGAAGCGAACCCAGTTCACCAGATTACGAGTCCCCCGCTCTTAACCACTACACCACACCACACACAGAGGACATAGGATTAAGTTTTCTTCAACATTTTCCCATGTTTCCTCTGACTTGTTATGTGCCTTTATGAAGCCCATAAAGCATAATTAACTGGGTCACTCTCCTTATTTGAAAGAAAAACATGGGAAGAAAATTTCAAATTACACTGACAGAGCAATTATATCAGGCTTCCTCAACCTCGGCCCTCCAGATGTTTTGAGACTAACAATTCCCAGCATCCTGACCACTGGTCCTGCTAGCTAGGGATCATGGGAGTTGTAGGCCACAAACCTCTGGAGGGCCAAGGTTGAGAAAACCTGAATTATATGAGTGCTTACTAAGAAGTTAAGTTCCACTGCATTCAGTGGGACTTTCTCTCATGTACAGTGGTGCCCCGCAAGACGAATGCCTCGCAAGACGAAAAACCCGCTAGACGAAAGGGTTTTCCGTTTTTGAGTTGCTTCGCAAGACGATTTTCCCTATGGGCTTGCTTCGCAAGACGAAAACGTCTTGCGAGTCTTGCGATTTTTTCCCGCTTCCCCCCCCTTTTTCTAAGCCGCTAAGCCGCTAATAGCCTTTTAGCCGCTAAGCCTTTAATAGCCGCTAAGCCGCTAAACCGCTAATAGCGCTAAGCCGCTAAGAGGGTTGCTTCGCAAGACGAAAAAACCGCTAGACGAAGAGACTCGCGGAACGGATTATTTTCGTCTTGTGAGGCACCACTGTATGTGTGCACAGGATTAAAGCCTGAATATAGTTAGAAGCAAAAGGCGATCATTGCACTTCCCAACCACCTGCTCCTGTAGTATTTGAAAATGCATTATATTTTTTTTAAAAAGCTCTTTCCAGCAACAACTTGCATTTCTTCTACTGAATAGCATTCAGAAGTGTGTTGGCAAAGAAACAGATGTTCATTACCCTTCAGTCGCTCTTCATTAACAACGAATCTTCATAAAACCGTATTTAAGAGTGCCGCTTATACTTGGTATTTATATTGCCGTTTGCAATGGAATTCTCATAACTCCCAACTGCAACTTTTCCATTAGAAAATAAGAAGCAGAAGCTGATTAAATAAAAACCAAGCACCATGCTGAACTGATGCTCTCCATATGCACATCCTCTTTGTAAGAGCAAGGGAAAATATTTTATAAAGAAGCAGAATTGCTTTGAATTAGTGTCTGTTGTTCAGGGGGCACTCTTAAATGTATTCAAACCAGTTGCTTCATTACAAAGAATCCTACAGCTATACCTCTGAAAGCTTCTATTTGAGGCTGTGTTCGCACTACTATTTCATCACAAATTTGCTCTTTGAGATGCTGCTACAATCATAACAGGTCTTTACCAGTGCAAAATTCAATAGGAAAGTTCAAGCATCAGCTCTAGATGTCAAAAAAAGGAACACATCAAGACAGTGTAGAGCAGCCCTTCAGAGTGTCAGGAGCAAGAGCAGAGTGACCTACCTGTGGTATTTGGGGACTGAGGGCAGTAGCTGAAGTTTCCATGCCATTAAACCTTCTCAGTGGACAATAAATACATTTCTGTGATGGAGTGAGGCTAACAGAATAATCCTAAGTGCAGGAAGCTATTGGAATGAACACCAATTTAAATTAAGCTGGCATAAAATACCCCTATTTCAAAGTGGGTTCAGCAGCAGCGCTGCTACCTCCAGCTGAGCTAACCCAAGTCTAACAGAGGGGAAACAAGCCTTTAAAATAGAGTTTGACTTATACCACCCTGAGTTCCAATAGGTTGCCAGGCATAGCTGTCAACTTTCTCCTTTTCTTGCGAGGAATCCTATTCGGAATAAGGGAATTTCCCTTTTAAAAAGGGAAACATTAACAGCTATGTTGCCAGGTCACAAGACTGAGCTAAAAGATATCTCCCCTTACTCTGTCCTGCCACGCCACACCCCTTTTTGAGGAGTTCCACCAGTTTAAGACCCGCTGGCTGAGCCAGTATAACCCAGCTCAAACACACTGAGTGACTTAACATTGGCATATCCCTGGCTGAGATGGGATGAGGCAGTCACTCCAGCTCAGCCCAAACTCACTCCTTTGTGCATATCTGGGGTCTGGACTGCACTATAATATTACTCTTCCTCCAATATGCAGGGGACCTAAGCACCTTAGGTAAGATAATCAAATCTTGCCCTTCCCGTTTTAAACTGTTTTAGCACTTTTCTTTATAACACTGTATTCCTCATGTGTTGTGTTGTTTCTGTTGAAAGCATGGAAGAGGGTACAGCTACCAGAGTACAGTAGTAAGGAATTAATAAGGAATATTATTTAGGTAGATATATGAAACGAATGCTGATTTTGTATGTAATGGATCAATGCAAAATTTATTTTTCTTTTAAAATAAAAATGAATAAAAATAACATTTTTTTAAAAAAGTTTGAAATACTGCATTAAGTGATTTTTGGTGTTTTGACATCCCACTTAACCTGGGCGATGTAGAGAAAGAGGAGTGGAGTCAGCTTTTCATTCAACCTGGTCTTCCTATAGCAGGGGTCTGCAACCCGCGGCTCCGGAGCCGCATGTGGCTCTTTTACACCTTTGCCGCGGCTCCGGGGCGGATACTAGCGAGGGGAGGAGGCGCATTGTGCGCCCTGACACTCCCCACTGTGGCGGGCGCTGTACTGGCTGTGACGTTGCATGGGGGCGGTGCGTGTGTTAGTCACGCACCGTCCCAACGTCACCTTCCCACCCGCTGTCAGATCGGAGGGCAGCGGCGCGCATGCTTTAAATGTTGCAATGGTTTTGTGGCTCCCAGTTTTTTTTCCCCTTCGGAAACGGGTCCAAGTGGCTATTTTTGTCTTAAAGGTTGCAGACCCCTGTCCTATAGCATATAGTATCTGATTAGTGATTAATTCTTAATGAATGATTTATACTCCCCATAAATGGAAGGGGCTGGAGAATTGGGTTCTTTTCAAGCACAGTGCCCTTACTTAACATATTAATATTTTTAAAAGTAGATTCGGCCACTTTCTCAGCAACCTATACTCATGCCGTGTAGCACAATAACATCGCCTAAAATTTGTCACATGAAATATAGGCAGAACTGAAGCAAGCATAATCTGGTTTACAGGAATACTCTCCAGTCCTATTTGGGTGACAGAAATGCCACCAAGTTAGCACTGTCATTCGGCTATCGGTTTGGAAGGAAAATTTCAAAGGTTGTGATGTATCATGAGAAGACAACCAAAGTGCCTCTTACTAGATGTGAAGATATGACACATAATACAAGGTGCTGTTGCAGCGGGCAGCATTCTTTTCACAACAATAACAATTCATCAACTGCTCCTGCAGAGTCATTTAAACCCATACAAAGGAAAGGGAACCCCTACATTCCTAAAGTCACAGCTAATTGTGTCAACACAGTCAAGAAATAATGATAATAATAGCGGAGAAGGAAGCTTCCAGCTAAACTTCTGCTTTGGTGAACTATTTGCCCTAAATACCTATCTTTGCACTGGTTTTAGGAGAGTAGCTGCGGTAATCTGTTGCCAGAAACAAACAATTCTTTTCTCCTTAACAACACTGATTGTGGCATGAACCTCTGTAGACAAGCATCTACTACACGACATCACATGTGGTATGGGAACAGGCATACCATCACATTTGCTGTAATTTAGCAAGGAAGCTTTAGGGCTCAGCCAGAAACAAAAGCTTTGTTCTCTCCCTGATTTTTGAGTTTATTCATACATGCATATAATATTGTTGGCTCTATGGCGGCCATGTGTCTTATTTTACAGAGAACTGTCCTCTATTTGAAGGTGTCCTCTATTCAAAGGGCTGACTGGTCCTAATCTGGTTTAAAGATAAAGAACCATCAGGGAGCAGAGCAGGAGCCTTAAAGCTGCTCATCAAGAGTTAATAGACACATAGAAAGCAGAAGAAACAGAGGCCATCTGATTGCAGTCTTCTGCACCATGATGAAATGTACTTCTGTGCAGGTATGCATTTCATGCTAATCCATGTCCTCTTTGAGGGGGCAATACATTTATTCCTTATTCTTGCATGAAACATACACAACACACCATTGCCACCATTTTTAATGTGGTGGTAGTGGCCTC